AAAGGACACTCAACATTTTCTTTACCAATTGGAAAATTGAAAATTGAATTGAAAAGTATGAAGCAGTTGTGTTAGAGCTACATTTTTCTCCAGGAAGTGAACTTGAGCTTGGGGCTTCACTCTATGGATCTGGACATTGGAGAGGAATGTCAATGTCATGGTAAAGGGCAGTAGAGATATCACTTTCTAGCTGAATATAAATGCTTCCCTGTCCAGCAAACACGAGGACATGTGAAGCAGTGAAATACACACCGTTGGCTAACTTTGGTGATACTATTTGTTCTTAGTAGGACTCCATGAATTTAAAATTTGTCTCTCGAACAACTCTCTGATTTGAGCCCCGAAATCTTCCTCTTGCAGAGAATTGTCAACTGCGAAGGCATGTATGACGAAACCGCTGTTTTCCATCCGCCATTTCATTTAATGAGTGGGTACCAACCTGATATCAGGGGAAGGCAGAAGGACCATATGTTTATGCACAACATCTTTTTTGGTCTTCTTGGGAGGAGGCTTCTTATCTCTGTTCCATTTCCCACCAAATGATGATCTCTTTCCAAACGGTAGGAAATAAGTTTTGCAAATGAGTGGCAACTAATGTGCTATGTGTGTCAACTCTGACCACGGGCCTCGCAAATGGCTGGAGAGGACAAGTCTACTTAAACATCAGGTTATCAAAAAGTCTTGCATACATCTAAGTCAAAGCTTGTTGTTACTAAGCACATACTCAGCAATTAAGAGTCCTTAACTACATACTCTTCCATAATAATCTCCTTGACTACTTTAACATCACCACGAGTCACTGATCCCTGATTTTCCTCCTCATTGCGGAGTGAGTTTGCAATCGCTCTGAGTCATCTTGTCCTTGCCTCGTAAAAGGCTACGATTGAAGATATTTTTCATCTTCCGTAATTGATCCATCTTCACTTCTTTTTAGGATGGTTTTCCTAGAGCCACCATTACAATTAAATCTGCTGTGGTCTGAGTCATGTCTAGAATAAAAATAAGCAAAATGTTAAGAGAAAAGCTATATGCACACAGTACATACTCAAACCAGGCCACTAGACCATTCAAATGTTAATTGAGAACATTGGATACGCCCCTTTTTCACAAGAAGATCAATGACAATTTAATGATACATTTTATAACCAAGCACAGGCAAATAAATCCTTCTTTATCTTAATTTTTTACCTAATAAATTTGTTTCACTGATTCTTGAGTTTGGAAAACACCAGAGGAGAAGTTACTCAGTGTGTACTGCAACAAGGACAAGTTGCCGCAACAAGGCGTGTGAGGACAAGTCGTTGTGACTAGTTCCCTTATCCGTTGTGACCTTAAAGAA